CGCCGTGGTATGGGCGGTCACAAAATTTTGCCGTATTCAGACGGCCGCCCTTTCAAAGTCATCAGCGACCACCATTCACTGTTTTGGTTGACGAATCTTAAAGATCCTACCGGGTGATTAGCGCATTGGAGTCTCAGGCTACAGGAGTACGACATGACGGTCGTACACAAGTCGGGGAACCGCCACATGAACGCTGACTGTTTATCCCGCTCACCCATTCAATCCCTAACTCTATTCGATGAGGAGGAAACGGCATTCCTCGGTGTGCTCGACACGACCACCATTGTGCAGCAACAACGTGGCGACCTTGAGTTACTTGCCCTAATTAATTACCTAGACGGAAGATCTCAGAAGGCACCAACTGTTTTCGTTAGAGCACTGTCATCATTTTGCTTACAGGGCGGAGTAATATACAAAAGAAACTTCTCTTTGACAGGATCTGCCTATTTGCTCGTCATCCCAGCAGGCCTTCGCTCCTAAGTACTCGAAGCATGCCACAACGACGTGAGTTCAGGCCACTTAGGTTACACGAGAACGTTGGCCAGAGTATCGCAATGCTACTACTGGCCAAGACTGACTATAGCCGTAAAGCACCATGTTCGTACTTGCCTCGACTGCCAGCGACGGAAGTCACCGCCGACTAAACCAGCTGGCCTCCTGCAGCCCGTGCAGGTCCCAAGAACACCATTCGACCTGATTGGCATGGATATTTTGGGCCCACTTCCTACTTCTACTGCCGGGAACCGCTGGGTTATTGTCGCGGCTGATTACCTTACCCGTTATGCTGAAACAATGGCTATCCAGAGAGGTATAGCAGCGGAGGTTGCACAATTTTTCATCGAGAATGTTGTCCTGCGACATGGTGCACCAAGCGTCGTAATCACAGACAAGAGGAACCACATTTACGGCAGCTCTTTTGGATCAAGTCCTCATGCTGAGTGGAACAACCTATCGTAAGATGGGTTGTTTCACTTAGCATGTTCCTACCACCCGCAAAAGAACGCGCTTACAGAGCTTCTGAACAAAACAATTGAAGACATGCTTCAATGTACGTAGACGCCAAACCCGAAAATGGGGACGAAATCTTGCCATATACCACGTTTGCATACAACACGGCCAAGCGAGAAACAATCCAGATGACCCCGTTCAGCCTAATTTGCGTAAGGGAAGTACGAACTATGTTAGATGCAATGCTAGCGCATGAAGGTGACGACATCGACCCGGACGCAGAGATGTTTACAGAACGAGCGGAAGAAGCAAGGCAACTAGCACGCTTGCGAATCCAGTAGCACCAAGAGTACAATGCAAGCCGCTACAATTTTCGCCACAGAACAGTCGTTTACCAGACCGTCGACGGAGTATGGGTTTGGACACACATACGGAAACGAGGACTCTCCGAAAAGGAGATTCTTTGGGCCATAACTAGTACTGCAATGAATGAGTGATGGTACTAGGTGGTTTCCGACAGTTCGGGTAGTACGAGGCTTCGCCAGCATTATCCTGAACTAGTTCACGTTGTACACTTGAAGCCTTATGCCAGGTGGTGACTGCGCAAAACATTTCTTAAAGAAAAAAAATGCAGTACCGATCTAGCATCGGGGCGATGCTCATTAAGAGGGGGGCAAATGACGCGTGTGTACTGGTGGACAAAAACAACGATAAGGGGATTTGACGGACACCGGGTAGTGGAGCTCTGGCTGATCAAAGACAAAGAAGGTGATCTTGCTGTTCGGCTGCTGAGAATCAGTGTGTCAACGTCTATCTGCCTTTTGTGCGTGTTGTACCGTGACAATATTATATATTAGCCATGGCAAGCAGCATGGAAAGGACAGCCCAAGAAAAGCATACTTAGGATGTAGAGAGAGAAATCGCAGCTAAGAAAGAGGAGATACTAAAATTTTTAGAACAGTTATAAAATTTACTAACAAAATTTGTTTCATCCTTCTTTAAATATTTGAGTCACATAAAAATGGAAGCTTGAGCAAGTTTGTATGACATCGTTTCCAATATACAATTCTTATTCATTGTTTATGAATAGGATTTGTATATCAAGTCCTGTTATCATGCAGTAAAACTTACATGGGCCAAAGTTGTAGATTCACCAAGGTTCGTCTTTGTGACCACAAACGCTCATTATCAAAGACAAAACCATACTCTCTCATCACTCATTGTCACGAATGTGGCTGCGCACCCTTCTTCAGTGACACACACAAAGTAAAACCAGTGTTTGAAGCCTTCCACATTCAAAGGAACTACGGTAAGTGTGTCAGCGTGCCGTCAATTTCGCCGAGTGCCACAGAGTCGTATCTTTGCAGCACCTGCAAAAGATGATGCCAATGCATGTCTTTATCGGTTTTTTCCTTGCTTGCACCATGTTTGCATGTCTTGCTGTTTCGTTTTTTTTTCTATGTTCTGGTAAGTTGCACTCCACATATATTATATGCCCTTTTTTCGCAAATAAATTTTAGGTGCAAGTCAGTGCCTGTCTATGTTTCTTTTTCTTCATTATTGTTTTGTGTGTGCTCCCCATCAACCAAGATTCCTGATTTGTCCTGGAATTTTCAGTCTAATGTTGTGTGCTAATCATCGACTTCATTGTGACGCTGGAGCTGAAGTGGTTCTTAGGCCAACTGCACAATGAATACAGTGGAAGTAAATTTTTCAAAGACTTCTAAGTCGAATTAATGCCAGCATCTATGGTATAATAATCTGAAGGCTTTCTTCAGCGCATCAATTTCAAAGAGGTTGCTATTGCCTAGGAATGAATGATTGCTCATGTACTTTTATGAGATCAGAACTGATTTTGTCAGAGTAGAAAGGATGGCAAGGAAGTCTGTGCCGTTATATCTGGGACTGAAACCTGGAGAGCAGCAAAATAAGTCGAGAGAAGGCTAGGGGCTGTACAGCATGCACTGTGCGGTCTTGTCTACACTACAGGCAGTGGCCATGGTTGGCTGGACGATAACGACAGTACGTAGATCGCAGAGATAATGGACGCGTAGTGTTAGCCTGGCCTTTTGATAGCACTGACTCGGGGAAGGGATAACCACGTCCAGTGAGGTCACAATACAAACATGGCTACAACACAGTGCAAAATAAAATGGTTGGCATGACGTTGATTTAATGATTCATATGTGGGGTTTAACGTCTCAAAACCACCATGTGATTATGAGAGGCGTCGTAGTGGAGGGCCCCGGAAATTTCGACCCCCTGGGGTTCTTTAGCGTGCACCCAAATCTGAGCAGACGGGTCTACGACATTTCCGCCTCTATCGGCAATGCAGCCGCCGCAGCTGGGATTCGATCCCGCGACCTGTGGATCAGCCACTACAGCGTCTCTCACAATCATATGGTGGTTTTGGGACGTTAAACACCACATATCAATTATATCATGACCTGCGGGTCAGCAGCGAAGTACTTTAGCCACTAGACCATCGCGGCGGGGCATTGGCATGACGTTAAAAGATGGGAAGAGACAGTAGAACGGGTCAAAGAACAAATAGGTGTAGTGGATACCTGAGTGGATAAAACATATCGGCAGATCCCATGCGTTGTGGGAATAGTCTTAACGCAAAGCAGGCAATGAGTACTTAGTGATTCAAGTCTTACGAGCTGGATCAATATATTTGTGTAACTTGAGTAGTGTTCATATTGTGGCCTTATGTGGCATATTGACCACATCGGCATCTAAAAGGTAGCTTATTGTCTGTCTGAATTCCAACACCTGCGTTGCTAAATTTATTGAAACTTAAGTGTAAACAAGCTTGGCATATTTCTATGGAAGTGGACAAACCTAAATATTAGCTTGTTGCTCGTGTAACTATGAACTCGTACTACAAGCTCAAGTAAGAGTTTGCAGGCTGCTTCAAAATTGCTTACAAGCAGTATGTCTTTCTTTCGTTTAATCCACCCAACTTATGTTAAGCTTTCACTCTCTAATGTTGCTGTCCTGGGTCAGTATAGACCTCCGATGCATACCTGCATATGCATGTCAGTTGACTATAGGAAATGGTTTTGTTGTATGAATGATAGATAAGTCCATGTCCCAACTTCATGTTTTTTATGCATTCGTACCCCCCTATGCCAATCCTAGTATGCACAAAAGGACACTGAAGAGAAACAATGAGTTGTTTTAAGTTGATCAACTGCACTTTGAGAACTCTAATGTCACAAGTTACACTGTCATAAGTTCATTATCAATGGAGAAAATGAAGGTTCAAGTTTTATTTTCAAATTTCCCACCGTAATTTCTGTGTTGGACATGAGAAATTCCACAATGTATTTTTGGTATTTCTGCGACATTGGCTCGATAAAATTTTCTGAGATTTCGTATGCTAAGTCTTAGCCTTAGGTACCCACAATATTACAATGCATTTCACTTTTAGCAATGAGAAGCTACTTAGGACACCATGACGCCTTCAAGAATTGACGACGTCACAGTGTTTAGTGCGGAAATTTCAAGGTGGAGTCTCCACCCGTAGTTTCTTTTCATGTTTTTTCTTACTTACCAAGTGTCTTGTCGCGCTAAAAGTGGTGTTTTTCGGATTGTGAAATCGTACTTTACTGATTCGCAAAAAAGCATTTTGCTCTTTAGTGTCCCTTTAAGGAGGGGACCACGAGAGCATCCAGACATAAGCAGCTAGATTTATATTGAGGGAAGTGATGAAAGTGCTTTTGGTTTGCTAAGAAATGCTTTTCATTTAATGAGCGCAAGAGGTGCATCTGGATCTTCCATGTTATATTTAGGGTAGACCCACAATGGTCAGTGGAGTGAATATTAAGGGAGTAGACTAGAAGCCAATAGTGGCAGCGATTGATAAAATTTTAAGGATTGCGGTGCTAATTCAATGCTGTCATGCAAAACAGTGAAAATCTGAGATAATTTGGAAAGATATTCGTTTTAAAGCATACACTGAGCATGATAATTATGACTACGTTTCCAGTAATAAAGTGACCCAGCTTAAACTTTATGAACCCTTTCCCTGGGTTGTTTGGCAACAGGATGTGCTGTTCCCATTTGCACGGAAGAACATGCGAACCTACCTGGAGTCCCGCTGGGAAGACCCCGAGCTAAAGGCGATTGTCGCACAACTCCACACACAGGTTTGTCCACGGACTTTTTCTCACCAGGTTCATAGTTCATGCGGTGACATCGCGACTGGGACAAACAAGAAGGAAGACAAACTCACTGCGCTTCTTTTCTGTCCCTGTCAAGATGTTTAGTGAATCCAAGCCCAACAATGTGCTTTATCTCACAAGTTTACACGTGGCCACAGATCAGTCAGCTTGCAGCCTTTAGCCCAGTAGTGCAGGTAAGACCGATTTCAGAATGACATACTGGGAAGTTTTTTCAGTGAGCGAACTTCGGAAAAAAAGGACAGAGTAGACGGAAAGAGCACTGCCTTCCAACTAGCTTTATTTCGTGAAGTAGCAAAATATATATGTCAAAAAGGAGGATAAAAGCAGGAAGATAAAAGACAAGCCTAATCAATGTGTCGGTAGTCAAAGCACATGTGACGGTTCCTCGAAAAGGACAACACGAAGCGTGGCTGATCCCTCTGTCTAGGCATCGGTATTACTAGAAAGTGAAACGTGTCTTCACAGAGGAAGTCGAGCATTTATTGTGCATAGTTTCGCCACAAGAATGAAGGAATGAATGCTACAACGAATTGTGATGTGACGTGAAGAACGGCAAACAGCTCAAAACTTGTTACGCCCACCTCAAACAGAAGGTATGCACGAGATGAGCACACAAAGGACGAGCGCGTACTTACAACTGTCACAGCTCGGAACCCAAAGTGTGCTGCTGCTCAAACAGAAAGATGCATGAAACTAACGCTTAGGTATACACAGGATGAGCGCGAACTGTCACAATTCTTACTTTGTGTGAGCAGCGCTCTCATTTTGTAACCGTGGCCACGTCAGTGAGTGAAGTGACGTTTGTGCTCTCTTTAATCATTGTAACTTCAAAGCGAACTTGCAGTGGAAGCACAGGCAGTACAAAATGGCTGAACCACAAGATAAGCGCACGCCCACTGGCGACCCTCTGTGGATGCGTGCACATCGCAATGCATGAAGCTATGACCTTTCGAGCACGCCTAATGTGCACCCTTCGTGATATCTTGCTACTGATCACAAAAACGCACTAAAGTTGCTGAGCTCTGAGGACCACCAACCGTATATGGTGTATGCAAATGGCTCGCTGCTATGAAGTAAGACAGCATACATCCTGTGGGCCTGTTGGTTTCACACCACATGCTGCAGAGCGATAGATCATAGGATTGTGGCCTGGCTATATAAATGTTTCTTCTCTTTTTGTTTCTTTGCATTTTGTTGGTATATATTCGCAACTTTCACCATCTAGAGAGGGCGCTGGTGCAAACCCAATATGGCTGTCGTTTGGGGGATTGTGCAGCTGGCGGACCGGCAGCCGCCACCGGTGTGCCCATCACTTCGACCTGTGTAGTATTTTCGGCTGCAGCCACCATGTTGTCAAGGCTTTGCTGAGAAGGTCATTGGCTCTAGCATGTAATCCACCACACACTGCTCGTATAGAAATGCGTGTGCGGCGTATATTGAACGAAAAGTACAGCTTTGTGAATGCTGCTTGTGCTACAGCTGCAAAAGACCGAGCGGCAATGCTCGTGCAAAGCAGGAAACCTTGCCTTTGGCTGCATGGTGACTGCACAGCAGCATCCAACATATTTTGTGATTCTTCTAGCTCAGCAAGCAAACAACAAAGATTAAATCATTGCTACTACAACTCGCAGTAACTGTCCGACTTCACAATAACCGTTGTAGAAATTACCAGCAACAAAATATAAAACACCAGCGAGTGGCCAAAGTGAGGCGGACTGAACGATGGCATGGGCTGACTGCGTGGACATCTCCCAAACGAGAGTTACGACGGATGCCGCATGGCGACGCTATCATCTGTGAAAGTTGCGAATATTTTACGTCATTGTGATGACTGGTGGGCGTTTTCAAGTGCATCTTCAAAAAGTGCACGGAGCAAAAACAAAGAAGCAGTAAAGTGCTTGCGGGGAGCTGCTCAAACAACGACCATGTCGAAGAGCGTTGGGCATGAGGACGCACAGCCCGATGGGAACAAAGTGAAAGAAAGGGAAAGAGAACCAATGGGCAATGATCACGGAGATTTCAGGAGCCAATGGCTGGACACCACGAAACATCAGCACAGCCAATCAGAACCGGACAAGTGGCCTAGAATTCAAGGAAGATCAGAGGCAGAAAACAGCAAGGAGAGTTCGAAGATGATGTGGCAAGAGGAAGCTCGTCACCGGACCGGGTATTGAAGACGGGCTGTCGGGTGTTCGAGCCGAGCCTCGAAGACTTCAACAGGCCAGGGCTTCCTGCCATCGCATTACTGCTTGAGAGGACCGTGGCCATCCTATCCTAAACTCCAGCACAGGGCCTGCGGACTTGAGTGCTGACAGGCGAGCAACAGTTGTCGGGCTACGGTCCCAAGCTTGGCATCTAGCAGCCTGGCCAGGTTGCCCCTGGTTTCTCGACACATCACCAGCAGCCAGTGTTTTCTGATCACCAGCCAGCCCACGTCCTAAAGCCGGAGCCACCACATTCCGGTTAATTCATTGTCGCCGTTCCTTAACATGTTAACATGTTGGTGAGACTGCCTTGAATCTTGCCCTACTCTGCCTTTCACCCCTGTTCGAACTGGATAGCTTGGTTTAGTTAATCGACTTGTGATTTAGTTGTCGCTATGAGTGTTTAAGGGCGTGTAAGACACTTTTATTAAGTGTTTCGTTGTGTGGAGATTATCGTGTTTACTTTTTAATGAAACCTTTTGTTGGAGTTTTGTTAAAAACTAAGTGTCTTTGTACTTCATGAAGGCTCTCTGAGACTCGGACCTTGAGAGCTCATATCAACATAAAGAGAACCTGCATCACGGTCATGTCTGGGACGAAAATATGTCAGCAGAGCCGTGGTGGACCTCAAAACAGAACACTTTCGTGTTAAAAGGCCAGGAGGTTTACCGGTCCTGAGCCCAGTTCACTACTCATCACTGAGGAAAAGAAGGAAAAATGAAACATTTTGGGACCATGGAACGGCTTTGAAGAGCAATGAGAGCACTGCTGTAATTCCATAAGGCTGTCAGACTGATTGTAATGTGACGTGCTGGCGAAAAATCGGCAGTGCTCCGGTGCGGTGTGGGACAGAAGATGACAATGTCCGTTGTGCTCGTGCGAAATGGCATAAACCTTGCGAGCGGTGGAGAGGAAGAGAATAAAAAAAAGCCGCATGCAGAGAAGAGAGAAAAGGGACAAACGGTGCTTGGCGTTCGATAGTCGGGTTGTTGGACCTGAGTGTCAATATCTGGGACGAGGCTCACGCGTTATTGCGACGAACTCAACGTGGCCGCTGATGTCGCCTGTCTGCAACTCTTCCTTTCACCAAGGTCAAGCCATCAGGGGCCCCTAAAAGCCAGCATGCGTCTCTCGTACCGGCGCCATGTCTCCTCGCTGCACTCTGCACGTTTGACTTCTCAACAGATGAGCTGGCATCAGCCTTCTGTTCAGACGTCACGCTTATCAGAGACTCATGTTAGCTCCTTTGGTTGTGTTTGCTAGTTTATTTTCCAGTTTTTATAAATTGTTGTTCGAAACCGACAAACAGCCTAACCATTTTCTTGCGAACGCTTTCATCGCTGCCGTTACGAAGTCTGTCTGATCTAAATATCCTAAGAACCTTATCACACTGCTTCGTTCGAGTGCTTTAATTATTCAAACGAATATTACAGTACTCGAATTCGCTTCAATTCGGGTGGAACAAATAAGTGTATATTAGTCTGTCTATAACTCCCTGTAAAAGTAGTTCATGGAAGTGGCGAGGTACTAAACCATGAAAGCATCTATCCTATACATTGTCACGTCGCAGAAACAGCAGAAGTCGGTTATAGGAGAGTTCACTTTAAAATACTATGCTAGGCACTCGCAAGGAGAACCAGGTAAGAACTTTGTCTTTCTTTATTGCTGCGCGAGCTCTTCTCTGCAGGTTGAATGTGGCATTTGCCTCCCTCCAGGAAGAGCATTGTCCCGATGCTCTGCTACAAAATACAAGGTGTATATAGTAGACGTATACTATAGTAGACCATATGCAGTATGGCTTCATCTGCTCAACATGTACGATTTCTGATTTCTGTTGGAGAGTTCACGAAGGACTGTCAGGGATGACCTCATAGTTCACATCACTTAGGTGTCGTACAACATTGTAGGGACCAAAGTACTTCTTCAGCAACTTTTTAGAAAGACCGCCTTGGCAAATAGGGCTCCAGACGCACACTCTTTCGCCTGGTTGATAAGTGACGTATCGGTGTCGCAGGCTATATCGTTGTGCGGCTAACTAACTCTGCTGCGGGGTGGTTCCCACGTGTGCAAGCTGCCTCACCTCTTCAGCTCGTTGGGTAAAACCTTGAGCATCCATGTCTGTATTGTGACAGTCATACAGCAACATGGCATCAAGCATTGTCGTCACTTCACGGCCATGAAGAAGACTGAATGGCATGCTTCAAGTAGTTCCCTGCTGCACCATATTATAGGCAAACGTCACGTATGATAGAACGTTGTCCCAATTTTATGATCCATATTGATGTACAGATGGGTCCACTGCTAAAGGGAAGGCTTCCGACTGCGCCATGTCCGGATTTCACTCTCTGACAAAAGCATAGTGACATAGATTTCATGAAGACTGCTGCTAGTTGACTGTCCTGACTCCTTTTGATATCCTAGTGTCATGTACGAACTGCTTTTTTTTTTGCGTCGTACCTGCAGTTATGGGGCCTGCAATGTGACAGGTGCTCATTAGAATGTTCCCTTTAACAGTGGATGGTATTGCACATACTCAGCATATCGGCGATTATCTTGTTGAGGCGTTCTGTTAAGCCATTGGTTTGTGGGTGGTAGGAGGTAGTTTTTCGATCAGCTGTTCCATTGAGCTGTTCCACTGACTTTATGAGCACGGCCGTTAAAGCGGCACCTCTGTCTGTTATTATGATCCTAGGAGAACCACGCCTCAGAACGATATCTTCAATGAAGAATCGTGCTGCTTGATAAAGCCTCTGTTTCTGC